CCCCCCACGTTCCTTTCGGTTTTGATGGCGTGTCCTGATTTATAACGTGCTCATGACAGCCAGAAGGCGGTTCTCATGGTGTTTCTGTTTCGGCAAGGGTCTGAATATGAATTGATGTTTCTGTAACATGAAACTTTATCGTAAAACAACTGCAGAAAATGCTGTACACTGTATGCTAATGGTATCAATTGTGGTGCAGCAGCAGAATTCACATCCAGATGCTGGCACAGTTTCTCTAAAGGCTACCTAGTTATGGCTGCCCTTGTAACTCCGTTATGACGTTCTTAAGCGTCTACATCCTCTATTTTACGTTATGTTTATGAGTCCTACCTTAAAGCGTCACGTTAGTATAAAATTAATCCACATTTATCCTAGCTTTTTCTTTTCGAATGCAGAACAGTACTGGAACCGCTCGAGGCAAGCCATGAATTCAGTACCAATAAAGAAGGGCTCGTCACACGAACATAACAACATGAACGGAAGAAATATGACGAGTTTATCCTTGCTCCGGGTTCAGCGTTGGTTACACTCTCCCTAATTTTGTACTGACTTATTCAAATGATAAATTTCTCTGTATGACGCCCCCACGGCACCTGATTTCAGTATATTGGTAGTCAGAATTTAAGTTGCTACCTTGCGGACTTGTCGCTTTGGAACATTCTTGAGGGTGTTGCCTTTCGATTCACAGGACGACTCCGTAGTAAAATACTCATGGTCAATTTCCCATTCAAAGCGACTTTTTATGAAGGAGGGATCGATCACTATTTTCTGCACCCTGTTATCAGTTTCTTGTGGCATTACCTTGTTTCGTCGCTGCACATGATACATTTGCAGGGTAGTCATGCGAACCGTGCAAAAGCAAGGTTTTCGTGAACAATCTGTTCATTAATCGTAAATTTAGCATTTCTCCTATAACATTCTTTTAACTTTCAGTTGCCTTTGACTTTTTGTTTGTGATGACGTTTGTTTGTAATCATTTTTTTCGCTGCTGCTTCGTTTCTTTTCTGCGTAAATAATCGTTAACACGAAAACAAATCTGATGATTAGCTTTCCAGTCGTTGAATGGTAATTTTCGTATTTTTAAGATGTTATGAAAGTTTCTGCCTTGCAGAATGCGTGATGCTCGCATCCGTTTCATGCTGAAAGTCCACTTTCATTATTGATGTCTA